CCCCAAAACCCCAAAACCCCAAAACCCCAAAACCCCAAAACCCCAAAACCCCAAAACCCCAATGTTTAGGATGAGTATTGAATCTAAATTATCTTCCAAATGTGGCTTTACTCACTCAAAAACCTCCTCCCCAACTCCTGGTCTATCTTTCTCTTAAAACACTATAAATCAACTCAATCTAATCTACCTGCAAGCTCTTCCCTCGGCTCCTTCTTCTCTTCCTCCGATTCTTCGTGCTCTCCTGGCCTATGACTATGCATATCTCCCACAGAATTATCCTCTCCTTCATCTCCATCCCTACTTTTAACAGGCTGATGATCTCCTGCTTCCTTCTGTTCTTCTTTCTTCTCTTCCTTCTTCTTCTGATTCCTCTTACTGCTTCCAAAAGCTTGTTCCTAAACAATCGACTGCTCTAGCTTACATATTTCCTTCTCTTAGCTTGTTCGTACAGGAGTATTATTATATGGGTGATGCCCCAGCCTATAAGTCATGAGGAAGAAGTACCTGCGATAATCATGACGTCTATTGCAACAGTGATGATGATTCATGCTAGGTAAAGATAAACAACCCAAGTGTCCCATGTAGTTTCATCTCTGTGGCTGAAGATACTAAATAGCAAAAATTGAAGCATGACTGAGTTGAAGACTTCAACAATGAAATCAACCCATCTTTGAAATGGTCTGGCAACACCCAAATATACACAGTACATTAAATTTATGAGCATGATTAACTTCAGGCTAAGGTCAGGATGTTTACCATATGCGAGTCAAACAACAAATACAAACAATCCAGCTCTGAGTATCCACATGAGCGGCCAAGATCTCCTGATGAAGTTAGATTGGCATCCGAGGAACAGTTCTTCTCATGGCTCCAAGCTATTTCCGAACTCCTCGTCTGCTGAAGCTATCCAATATGCTATGACAACGAGAGGAACACAAGAGTATATGATAAAAATAATAAGAGATATTACCCATGATGAAGTTACTTGAAGATTGTTAGAAATAGTAATCTCAGAGAAGACACACAGATAGACATATGGGAATGAGAGTAAGAAGAATCTTATAGGAAGTGCAAAGATACACCACTCATACATCCAATTGATAAATCTAGCCCATTTCCCTGATTTTTCAGTCTTTTTAGTCATCATTCTCAATAAAACTACAATCAAGATAAATCATATCAGGAATATCAAAACAGTTATGAATTTGCCGAGGTTATTGATCCCGCTTGCTGTTTCTAGTTCTATTTTGGTCAGGTACTCTACGTCTTGTTTGAATTCACCAGTTGGCTTCGTTTCATCATAATCTATAAACAAAATGAGCTGCTTTTAAATACACCAGCAACTTCTAGTTTGAAATTGGGATGGGAATAAACAAACTCAATACTTTGATACCTACCTGTAAATTTGATTTCTTTAGGAAGGAAGCTGAAATTGAACAGAAAGAAGTCTATCTGGTCGTAGAAGTCCATCATATCATCTCCAAGAGTATAGTTAACCAATGGAGTAAGCAGCAACAACTGAAGGTAATGAATGATGTTATAGAAAGCAACGATCTTCTTCTCTAAGTAATAGAAGGAAATCATTGTGAGAATAAGGGCGGTGAACATTAAGATCAGTAAAGCAGCAAAGAAAAATTTAGATGGTAAGGAAATATCTTCAAAAGGAGATTCTTCTATAGTCAGTCTCGTAGAAGCCTGATACAGTATTGGCTGATAAGCATTTGTTGCTCCTCTGTTCAAAGGATCGAAAGGATAAGAAGTACTTTGAAAGCCAAAGTTCATTGTGTATGATGCATAAGCTTTTGTTGCAAATAGCTCAATGAAGTAAGGAATGTTGATATCGAAATAGTAAGAGAATTCTTCATTGTAAGTTCCTAACGAATCACAGTCGTCCATTGCTTCATATACAACTTTGCCGTTTATCTTGATCATCATACAACTTTCATGTTCTATCTCAAGCTGTTGACTTCCTTGAGTTGTTGCATAAAATGCCGTGGACATTAATATTGACATTTCACGAGACTGTATTGCATTCACATAGTCATAAAACCTTGGAGCTGTCGAGCTTGATGCTGAAATAGTTTCTGGCTATATGATATGTTATAAAAGATTCTTGCTGCTATATATCGAGCCATTTAGTAATATTTGGGAAAGCTTTCTATTTAAAATTATCACTTTTAATTTTCAAATTCAAATTTTGGCATTGGTTCAAAATCTAAATGTGAATTGTGCTGATTCTATATACGAATACACCTCCCTGCTAGTGCATAATATTGTTCCAGGAATACTCATCAGATATTCAAGCTTAGGCCTATCCTGCAGAATTGTGTAGTTAAGTAACATTGCATTAGGTTTAGTCCCGGAGAGATTCATGATCCAGAAATGTTTAACTTACCACAGTATAATGGGATTCGTAGGTACGGAAATCATCTGTATCCTTCATTATATATGCATCTACCAATGCTGTATCCGGAGCAAAGTATACCAAAGGAGTAAAAGGACCTGTTAAACCACTTGTATTAAAAGTCAACGCGTAGACACCTCCTCCTTGGTATACCATTTCACTGACAATATCCTCCTGGCGCTCATCAGTGGGACTCTTCAAGCCACAGTAGCGAGGCCAGTCACTGTCAGCCCTACACTTCTTGGTGACCCTTACGAAGGGCTGGTGCGTGCTAGAGGTAATACTGGAAGTAATGGCAACGTCCTTGGAGAACTTTCTTAAGAGGGATAGGGTGTAGTAGTCAGTGGCGTTTTTGGCAATCCAGACATCAGATGCCTCTATTTCTTGCGGTTCGAAATCTGAGCAGTAGATGCAGCCTATGAGTGAGGGAGGTGGATTACCAGTGAAAATACCTAAGAAAGTTAAGAATTGGAGAAGAAATTTCGTTCTGGCACGAAAATTCATTTTTAATTTATATTCAAATTTGATATAAAATCTCAATTTGTCTTTATGCTAATGGGGTTTTGGGGTTTTGGGGTTTTGGGGTTTTGGGG